CGATATAATATCTGTTCTCTTTTTTTTTTTAGAAAGGAGGAGGGGGGAGTTACGTAACAGGAACGTTTTTTAAATGGTTTGCACGATGATTTTGCGCGAATGTGGATCTTGAGTTAATTTATCGGAAAAGATTTTTATCCACAAGTTTTTTAATTTTAAATGTTAATACAATCGAAAGTTGTAAATGTTATAAAGTATATTAAAGTAATATAATAATAGATGGTTAAAGTAATTTTATAATATGATACAAATATGATATATAATGTTACAGGGATATAAAAGGATATTTTCATTCGTTTCTTGTATTTACAATTTTTATTTATTATCGTTTCGTGGATATAAATATAAAATTGAATCGAAAATAATAATACGATTAAAATAAAAGAAACATTATATTAACATATCACGATTTTAAAATTTAAAAATGTTAAAAATTCTTTATTTTTTTTACATACAAAATTGATTCGATCTTTATTAAATTACAACTTTCTGTTGTAACGCTATTAAAATATTCATTTCTATCCAAATCACATCTATTCGCGAATATATTTAGATTCGACCGACCAAAGTCTTTCGATCGATGACGAGAAAGATCTGATCTATCCACGTGACGCAATCCTCATTTCGGGATTCTCCAAATCTCGAGAAACATTTCTTAGTCTGTATAGTTCTCAGAGCACATTAGATCCGACATCGACATCATCGGCTATCAGGCTCGTAAAAAAAAAAAAAAAAAAAAAAAAAAGGAAAAAAAAGACCAGAGAGATCGAACATCGAGCAGACTTTCCCAGATTCGTAGCCGTATTCCTCTTCTTCCCTCGGGCGCTATCTCGATAAAATGAAATCGGTCGTTAAACGAGGAAGAAGCGAGAGACAGCTCCGGGGAGAAGAGACACGACCACAAAAAAAGCAGCGGCCTCACGAGGATTCATAGGGTCAAGGCGCGGGTAGAGGGGTCGAAGGGAGCGACAGAGAGGCGAGGATGAGGCGAGTTTGAGACGGAGAAAAAGAGACTTGGTCGACCCGAGAAGAGAAGGATCGAGAGCAGAGAAGGAGAGAATCGTTTTACGTTTCAGAAACCAGTTTCTATGGTTTAATTTCTACGGGTGGACATCTTCTTTAATTTATGGCGCCGTCCAACCCCGTCCTTCCTGCCCTCCTACTCCCCCTCCCCTCCCCTCCCTCCTTGAACGCCTTTCGACATTTTATTGGGTCGACCAGTTTCTCTGTAACTCTGTATATACACAGAGAGATTCCACCTTCGAAAAATATCTCGAACGCGTGATACAAACGCGTCTCCAAGGAATCCAAAAACCCGACGGAATCCGCCTTTCCATTTCCATTCCATCCTCTCCTCTTCCCTACGATCGCGATTAGCCGTTTTTCGTCTAATCGACCTGCCCGATTTCGCAAGGTCGATCCGTTCCCAGTCCCGCCACCTGTGTGCACCAAAAAGCGACAAGATCACAACGATTCCTCTCGCCACTCCAACTGTGTTTATCGGATCTGTACGTTAATTGAAGCAGCGAGCGGGTAATAGCTATGATTACGCCCGCTTACGTCTTGCGGCCAGGAGACTAAATTATATGGGCGAGTCTCCTCGCTCTCGTGTGATACAAGATACGCACGCCGCTATTGGAGCGAGACGTTTCGTCTCGGGCGGAGAGTGGAGGTGGTGTAAACACCGAGGGGGACGGGTTTATTAAGCTGAAACTTTAGAAAGGATTATCGCCGGGATAAAGCGATATGAAAGCGAAAAAGAAACGTTAGATTCTCTCGATACTAAGAAGGACAAAGAACGATACATACAGAGATCCTATGATCTTGAAGAACAATGCTCAAAATATTATCCCCCTATCGATCCTTCTTTTTTTACTAATTCACTTGCATGTGTGATTTCAGATCCACGGATCTTCCCAGATCGTCATTTTATTCATAAGGAATAAGAAATCGTTTCACGAGTGAAGAGGAGGAGGGCGAGAGTTCAAAACATTTATCCTATCGATTCTTCTTTTTTACTAATTCACTTGCATGTGTGATTTTATTTATAAGGAATAATAAATCGTTTCACGAGTGGGGAGAAGAAGGACGAGAGTTCAAAATACTTATCCTATCCTTCTTTTTTACTAATTCACTTGCATGTGTGATTTCAGGTCCACGGATCTTCATGGATCATTTTATTCATAGAGAACAAATCGTTTGATAAGTGGAGAAGAGGAGGGAGAGAGAGTTCAAAACACTTATACTATCGATTCTTCTTTTTTACTAATTCACTTGCATGTATGATCTTCATGGATCATTTTATTCATAAAGAACAACAAATCGTTTGACGAATGGAGAAGAGGAGGAAGAGAGTTCAAAACACTTATCGTATCGATCTTCTTTTTTACTAATTCACTTGCATGTGTGATTTCAGGTCCACGGATCTTCCCAGATCGTGATTTTATTCATAAGGAATAATAAATCGTTTCACGAGTGGGGAGAAGAAGGACGAGAGTTCAAAACACTTATCCTATCGATCTTTTTTTTTACTAATTCACTTGCATGTGTGATTTCAGGTCCACGGATCTTCCCAGATCGTGATATATAAGGAATAAGAAATCGTTTGACGAGTGGGGAGGAGGAGGGCGAGAAATTAACGCGAGTTTAGAGGAAAGGACGAGAAGCAGAAGAGGTTGGCAGGTCAGTCCGCTCGGCCGGCAATCGGTTCTCTGCGGGGGCATCACCGGGGACGCGGTGAAATAGTGGAGGCTCGAGAGTGGAGGAGAGCACGACCTCGGCCGAGTGGGGAAGAGATGGGTGGCACCTGGACAGCCGGTCTCGAGGGACCCGGGCGCGTAGGATTGGCGGAGAGACAGGGGCCAGCCGGGGCCCATTGGCAGGCCAGGGTACAGGCGTGTATCGAGGGGCAGGTACAAATGGCCCCTACCAACGGGGGAAGATCGGTTCCCGTCGGTGAACCCGTGGCTCTCCTTAGGCGCCTTCGATGCAGTCGAACAGGTCGCAGCGATCGCGAAGCGCCAGTCCTCTCCCGTCCATCGACGTGGCCGCACCGTGGATCGTGGATGTTCGAGAGAGACAGAAAGAGGGAGACGAGTACAGAGGGAGAGACAAGACGGGGGAGAAGGAAAAAAATCGTTGGATCGGGGACGGCCAGGAAAGGAGGGACGGAGAAGAGAGACGATTGGAGAGAAGGAGGCGCGGTGAGTAGAGAGCCACGCGAGCACGAGCGTGGATCATCCGGAGCAGAGTTACTCGGGGGCAGTCGAAGGATTTGCATCGAGGGGAACGGTGCTTGAGAGTCGGTCGCGTGTCTTGTTTTGAGAAACGAAGAGGAGAGGAAGAGAGGAAGAAAAAGGAGGGAAAAGAAGGTGTAAATCGGCATAAATCGCGTGACATCGCGCTGAAAAGACGTGAGAAACGAGGCCAAGCATCTCCACGCCTAGGATTTTGGAAAGATTGTACGTGTGNTATATATATATAGAGAGAGAGAGGAGAAAAGTTATTTTTTTTGTTCGTTTGTAGTGAACCGAGACACCGGTTAGCCTGCTCGCAGTGTTATCATCCGACCTCTAAGGTGAGTGAAACTTTATATTCACGTTGTTCGTTTAGTGACTGCGTTTCTTATGCGGGCGTTGATGTCTCCGCCAGAATTGCGCGCTGCCACTAGCGTTCAAATCTCCCCGCGCTTTTTATTTTATTTTTGACAATCTGTGATCGTATAGAAATACCATTCATTATTCTATATTCCATTCTATTCGTGAATTTGTTATATACGAATAATTCTTTTTTTTTTCTTTTTTTCTTTTTCTTTTCTTTGACTCGTGTTTACCAAAACTTCGAGCATCGTGGAAGGGAAAATTGAATCGTGTGTTTGGTGTGGTGAGAAACTGTAGGCAGGAGACACAACGGGAGGGGACAACAAAAAAAAAAAAAAGACTAATGATAGTTATAAAAACTAGAAAATAAATCATTCGCGTTCAGCCGGTAATCACCGGCGTTTCGTCAATCTTACAGTCCATTCACCGCTCCATTTATCCCTCGTAAATTAAAGTCTACATCCAAAGTGTCTGCGTTGCTCGCGATTATACCATGGCGTGAAATTGATAATGCAACGTAATAGCAGCCTAAGTACGCTCGACCGTAAAAAATATCCCTTCGACTAGTAAATTTTGATTGGATTATAATTGCGAAATCGTGAGGCCGCGTGCTGTTGTACGCGGTTCGGCCGATCGTTGTTATCTCATCGAACCGAGAATAACCGCCCGTTTTATTCTTAACACTTTCGATCAAAAATCCTCGGATTAGATCCTATCGGATTGATCAATCGATTCTCTTCGAAGAAATATTCAACAACTTTATCTTTGTTGAATTATACAATTAATATCCTCCATATATTCTTCTCTTCGTTTAACAATTTTAATTGTTTTAATAACAATCGAAAATTCGTTTTTATTGTATATAACGTAATTTCAACATTCGATCGCCTCTCTTCAACGGAACAAACATCCTTCCCTTCCTCGCAACAAGCTCATCACAACCGCAAACTTTCATATGCCTTTCGTGCGTCCCTTTTTTCGCACTCTTGAACTCCTTTCGAAGCCAACTATCGAAACGATGCGATCGGATATAGGGTTGGTCGCAAATGAAAACATTATCGTCGTCACCCCTCGCGGCATCCTGTTGCTATAATATTTGCCTACTGGTAGACAGTGGCGTAATTCGGCCCGCACAAAGGCCGGCACTTTTGTCGTCTGAATAAAAGCGAGCAAGAGTCATGGACGTGGAGCGTTATATATACACTCGGCGCACGTGTGCACCGAGGAAGAGGGAACCGAGGCGGGAAGCGAGACAGATCGAGCGGAGCGTTACAATTACTATGCATAGATGCCCCGTCTAGGGTCTCCCATGTCAAAATATATTTATTGCCCCCCTCCACACCCTCCCTTCTTCTGTCTTCTTCCTTCTTCTCCTCCTTTTAACCTGGTTGCGGTGTGTCAGTCATCATTGTTACCCTTTCATACGGTTATTACCCACTTGTACATCTGTAGAAGCTTGAAGAGCCTTTGAAAAATAAAGCCTTATTCACCTTCATTTCTTCAGGTATTTATGTACGTGTTTGAAAAAGCAGTAAATCGAAAAGAGAGATGAATTCGCTCCTCGACGAGGAGGAAGATTTCGAAGAAGCAGAAGAAGATTTCCGTGGCTAATTTTTTTTTTTTTTAGGTGAAAGTTCGTAAAAAAAAAAAAAGAAAAAGAAAAAAACTGCACAATCGCCGTGAACTTTGAAAACGACCGTCTCATCGGGGAGAAAGCGTGAATATAATATATAATAGCTTTAAGGTTTCATCGAGGAAGTCTGGAAATAACGATCCAACCTTAATTCGAACGATGGGACTTTTTTTCTTTTTTTTTTTTTCGAAGGGACAATTAACGGCTCGAATCCCTTGGTCACGAATCTCCGTAAGCCGACTATAAGAATCGTCGATCCTCATTTGCATGCCAACCCCTCGGTCGGTGTCACCAATCGGGGTGCGCCTGCGATCCGACTTAACGCCTTTTCGCCTTCGCCTTTCGTTTTCACCCCTTCCCTACAATCGAAATCGTAAAACCTCGCACGAATCCGCATATTAAGTGCATTCGTTTCTGCCATTCTTCCCATTGGCGGCGAAGAGAAAAAAAAAAAACACAGGTTGTCCAGGTGATCTTTCTGGTGTTGCAATCCAATCTGTTGAAAACTGGTCACGTCGAATCCAATTTTTTCTTTCTTTCCTTTCCTTTCCTTTCCTTTTTTTTTTTCTTTCTTTTTCTGGTAGTCGACATATTCGATAGGAAGCAATATTCGTGTTTAGAAAGATGGCGCGTTTTCCAGTTAGTCCTTATCTCGACAGTCCCCTGGAACATGCATTTAACGGTACAGGGAATGGCTCGGATTCTACGGATCCGTTACTTTTCTAATCTGAGCCGATGCACTCCATCCGATACGCGATAATTCGCGAATTACAGGGAATCACACTTCTCCGGGCTTCCTCCCATTTGCATTTTCAGTGGGAGGGAGAAAGGAGGGGAGGGGAGGGGGGGGAGAGAGGAGGAGAGGAAGGGAAACACTCGCTTTTATCGTATGTTTGACGCGACTTAGCCAATCGCTTAGAAAGTAACCGAGAATACGTTTCGACGTTTTTTTCTTTTTTTTTTTTCCTTTTTTTCTTTTATCTTTCTTCCCGTACGTGAAGGAAATGGTTGATCATCCCGTGCGAGCGCGGGAAAAATGGTACAGTTTTCACCGAAAAGAAATTTAACGGTCATCATCCTGTGCCGCGCGTAGTATGCGAGAAATGTAGCTGGTAAGAAAGAGCTTCTTTTACACGGTTAGTTATTCCGATTCGAACGCGAAGAAATGGTTGTTTGCAGAGAGATTAGAATAGAAATTTAATTCTCATTCCGTATCACACATTAAAGGAACACTTATTTCCATTTATTAGTGATTCCATGTGAACGCAGGAAAGTAGCGAAGAAATTCATCACCACATTGAAAATGTAGTGAATGCAGATGGACGCTTGTTTAAAATATGCTTGATTATCCCATCTGAATCTCTAAGATAATGCAGATATTTAGGAGAAGTAATTGAATGCCACACGTTTGTGCCACATTTTAAAACTTCTTCTTCTCGCGAGAATATTCTTTCGAGATCCTCCTATAAAATATGACTTCCGAATGTGGCACGTTTTTTCTGCATTCACACGTCATTTTTACGCGAAAGAAATTCCGTATGCATTCGAATTTATTTCCTCTCAATTTCTCGATAAAACAACGAAAATGAACATGCACCGTCAATTGGAAGATTAATGATCGATCATTTTACTCCAAAATAGTAAATTATTCCGAATTAAACGCGAACGATACGTTACTCTAACAACATGTTAAAAACTATGCGACTTATCTTCCAGAGATACACTTAACTTAAATAATTTCTAAAAAAACATAAATACAAGAATTTGGCGCGAAAATATAAAAAAAGAAATGTAACGTTTAATGTCCCTCGAAGCGTATCCGGAAAGTGGTGTTCAAGTCGAAGAATTTTCGATCTGCATTCGAACTTCCGAGACAATTTCGAGACGCGATATCCTTGGGGCCGTTTGCGTGGAGCCGTTTACGATACCGTAAATCAACGACGCCGCGCTTAATCGTCGAATAAAAGGAAATTAAATTGCATAGGGACCCGCGTCGCGGATCCATGGATCGTTCCGCCGGCGAGAAAAGCGCGCGCGTAAAATCGCTCGTGCTCAAAATCGAGCGTAAATCAATGGAGGAGCGCGATTAAATCGAAGTTTACGACTGTACGTTCATTCTGTTGCTATTTGCCCATATGTAAAGCAAATTGACAGAGATTTTTCAAAAGGCTCCATTAAACGGTCATTGTTTAATAATTTAACATTCCGTCGTGCGAAGGCTTTTCATAAGCCTTCTCCATTTACGATTCCACACACACACACACAGGAATGGGTGAGAAGTATTATTCAATTTTGTAGCCAATGATAATTGTACGAGTCCATAAGAATTAAATGTTAACGTATCGTTTATTCTCTCGATTTTTCTATCCAACGAATAATAATTCCATTTTCTCGCAAGAAATTCTTACGTGGATATATTAGATACAGGTTATCCATATTCGACGCATCTCTTGCTTCTATTATTTCATCTTTACTCTTTTCCTTAGCGAGACGTTCGTAACTTATCGTCATTTTCATAGAGGTTTCACTTGCTTGTGTACACATCGTGGATCACGTTTTTCCTATGAAAAATACAACAATTCGAAGAGAATTATTCGTTATATAAATTAATACAGAATTCGACTTCGAATACATTACTCTCGAGATCCTTAACCCCTCGTCTCTCACAGTTCCTCGGCAT